TTGCAGATCTCGAAAGTATAAAATTGCCTTCACAGCAGACACTGTAAAAATGTATCATCAGATTTTGATTAAAGAACATCAAAAAGATTTATTATGCATTTTATGGAAGAGTAGTGAAGAAGAAGCAGTTAAGGTCTATAGACTGAAGACTATAACTTATGGTACTTCCAACGCACCATATCTGGCAACACGCACACTTAACCAATTAGCAGAGTATGAGAGAAACAACTTTTCGTTAGGAGCGCAAATAGTAAAAAGGGATTTTTTACGTCGATGACGTACTCACAGGAGCCCATACTCTAATAGAGGCTAAAGAATTACAGTTGCAATTGATTGACCTTTTATCACATGGAGGAATACGTCTGCACAGATGGTGTGCTAATCATCCTGATCTTTTGCAGTTTCCGGATGGACAAGAGGAATATTCTTTCAGTAATTTCGATGACGATCAGTGCATCAAAACTTTAGAATTATTATGGAATCCAAACGTAGATTGTTTTTTGTACAAATCAATGATCAAGAAACCAGCTACTTACACAAAGATAACAGTGTTGTCTGACATTGCCCACATTTATGATCCATTAGGACTGCTTGGTCCAGGAATAATAAAAGCAAAAATCTTCATCCAAAGACTTTGGTTATTGAAGCTTTTGATTGTCATTGATTGGAACGATTCTCTACCCGAGAAATAGTTAAGGAGTGGCAACTTTTTATTGATTCCATGCAATCTATCAACAATTTGCAAGTGAGAAGATATGTTTTACAGGACAGTTTTTCTGAGATACAAATTCATGGATTTTCAGATGCATCAGAACACGCATATGGAGCAGCCATCTATTTAGGCTGTAAAAGTGACAATAATTTATCTTTACATTTGCTTTGCAGCAAGTCCAGAGTAGCTCCACTAAAACCGTTGACAGTACTCCGACTGGAACTCAGCGCAGCTTGTTACAAAGGTGATGCCTTTATTGAAATTGGACATCAGTAAAATATGTCTGTTGTGTGACTCAACCATAGTGTTAGTGTGGCTTCAGAATCCTCCACATGTACTAAAAACTTTTGTTGCTAACAGAGTGTTGAAGATCCAAGAGCTAACACAGACATGCCAGTGGAATTATGTGTGTTCAGAGGAGAACCAATCAGACCTTATTTCCGGAGGACTGGATTTTGACAAGATGCATGATGCTGATCTCTGGTGGAAACATCCTCCATTCTTGAGGGAAGGTGTCTTACCCAACAAGAACATTGAACAATTAGAAAAAAAACAGAGACATTTTCTAGTGAACTGAGAAAAAGAACTGACATTGCTTGTTTATGCACTTCGCCTTCAAAACTTATTGATAATGTCCTAGATATCACTAACAATTACTTAAAATTATTATCTATTATTAGTTATATTTTCAGGTTCATTTGGAACTCTAGGTGTGCAAGACAGAAAGAAGTACACAGAGAAGAACAGGAAGGGTAAGTTCAAAGGAGTTAAATGAGAGAGAATCCTTTTTAGTAACAGAAGTTCAAAAATGTAATTTTTATTTAGATTACAGCTCCCTCGCACAAGGAAAACCCGTTAATAATAAAAGGCATTTACTTTATTTGAACACCTTTTTTAGATGCAAATAATGTAATAGGAGTAGGAGGCCAACCACAAGGGGCCAATGTAATGTTTTCACAAAAAATCATCAAATAATTTTGCCTGTTATATGCAAACTAACTATGCTGATTGCTGAGCATTATCATCGGAAATATTTGCACGTAGGTTCACAAGCGTTATTGTGTTTTAAGAGACAGAAATTTTGGCCATTACAAGGTAGGAATGTAACTAGAAAGATTATCCATGAATGTACAGTTCATTGTAAAAATAAACCAGTCACTATCGAACAAATTATGGGGTCATTACCTGCAGAGCACGTAATTCTGAGTTCACCCTTTAACCATGTCGGCACCGATTTTTGTGGCCCATTTTTTATTAGGTACAAGGGACAGACGAAAGGAACTCTTCATAAGGTATATTTAGCTCTTTTCATTTGCCTTATAACAAAGGCAGTGCACCTCGAATTAGTGAATGACCTCACCACTGACGTGTTTATTGCCACCTTAAAGAAATTTACTGCTAGATGCGGAAAATGCTCAATCATTTTCTCAGACAACACAAAAAACTTCATTGGCACAAATGCCAAATTGCAAAGAACTAACAATTTAATTAGAAATCCTGACAAAAAATTAACAGATTATTTAGGTGAAGAAAGAATTGTTGGAAGTTTATTCCCCCACACGGACACCTAATTTTGGTGGACTATGGTAATCTGGAATAAAATCCGTGAAATATCACTTAAAGCGGATTGTAGGTAATGCAAGGCTGACTTTCGAGGAGTTATTAACTGTAGTAACTCAGAGTCTGTTTTAAATTCTCACCCTATTACTCCCTTATCATCCGATGTAAATGATTTAGAGGCCTTAACACCAGGCCATTTTTTCATTGCATGAGCCTAGAATGCTATAGCAGAACCCGAATTGATTGATATACCTGAAAACAGACTCTCAAGATGGAAACGAAGTACCAGATTTTTCAGATACCAAAAGTTCTATTGATATGGAATTGTTCACATAAGGACTATTTAAAGACACTACAACAGCATTCAAAATGGAAGATAGAACAAACAAATAGTAAAATCAGCATGCTAGTACTAGTTAAGGAGGATGAGCTTCCTGTCAGTAGATGGGTGTTAGGGCACATTACAAGACTTTTTCCTGGAGTTGATGGTAACAGTAGAGTAGTAGAAATACATAGAGCAAAAGGCATTATTAAGCGTGGAATTTCAAAAATTGCAATTTTATGCCAGATAGGAGCTTCCTAAGTTAGTTAAGTGTTAGCTTATTATTATTATAAAACTTGTATTGTGTATAAAATTTTGTATTAAAAATTGAATATAATTGTAATGAATTAAGTATATTATTCATATTGCTATATTGCATAAGGTTGTAATTTTACAATTTTGTATGTTGTTATGAGTATTATCGCACAAAATTATTGAAGTAACCCTTCAATGCTGGGGGTATGTTAAGTCATTAGGACTATTTAACTGTAAGATTACATCATTTTTTCTCTTCTTGGCGCCTTGCATGGCGCAAATGTTCATTACAGCAACCCTGTAATCGCTCGCTTAGTTTTCTATTGCTGTTGTTGTTAGTAGTAAGTCATCGCTTGAAAGATGGCACGCATGTGATTAAAGTTTTAGAATAAAATATTAATTAGTACAGTCCACATCTAGTTAATTTGGAATTGTTGTATAATAATGCACGCATCGCATGAACATGGCCATACCCATCAGTCATTTAGATGTCTAATTATTAAGAAAATTACCCAGAATCCACTGCAAGGAAAGATTGATACTGTCCCCCAAGAATACATATGGAAATATAAATTTACTCTCCAAATGGTACACAAGGTACTAGTCTTCCACTTTATAAATAAGTTTGCAAAAACAACTTGTGAGTGTAATGCAGCAAGAATGACAGAGATCCTTCACATCTTTCCCTGATTTCCAGTAGCTGTACATCTTCCAATCCATAGGAACCAACTCACAGTCAGACTTTGACTCATTATTGCTAAAAAGCAGTCTACTTTACAAAATCAAATTTTAAAAGTCACCGCATTCTCTCTAGGGTTCTAACACTTTTCTTATTTTTCTGAGATGAAAATGAGGCTCTGAAAAGTTAAGGATAATTCTCGAGTCCTTGGCCTAGGCACGATCAGCCTAAATTGTAATCAGGTTCAGTTCCCCCTAACCACTGTGAAATAAGAATATAGTGTTTTTCTGATATTTACACTGTTGAAATCTACTACACCAAATACTACACATCACAAAACAATCTATGTTTTATTTCAGCTAACTTACATTAACACGTTGACTGCCGTGCACATTTGACGTGATTTGCCCATGAGGCCAACTTGCAATTTTTATTATGTGATGTATTTTATGTTGAAATATTATCTGCAGAAGCTAATGTGAGTTATATAATCATGCTTAATGCATTTTTTGTGGTGGGGGTTACCGGTGGTCCCAAAGTGCTGTAGACCATTACTGCAATTTATAATTTAAATTTTTACAATTTTCTTCAATCCATTATAGTAACAATGGTACTATTTAAAAATTTAATCAGTATCGATATTTACTCTAATTATATATTTTACTATTGGTTCCATCGCCGGTAGCACCCATGGCAGTCAATGTGTTAATATTTCTTTACTCTCACTGATAAACACTTTTTTAATCCAACACAAATAAATTAATGCAAAAGTGTATGTTCTTGTAGAATTATATCGGTTGCCTTCTACTTTTTTTAAATATATCTGAACACTTATGGGGCAGCACACGTTAGCTAGTTACCAGTAGCAAAGTGAAAGAATCTGGTGTATTCAAAATCAAATCCCACTCCGAATGATTTAGTTTTGGATTAGCTTTATTTTTATTAACTAATTTCTTAAAAATTGTTATTGGCTGAAGTCTTACTTGCATCATTAGTGTTATGCAAGAATCATATGATATGGGTTACTTTTGAAATAACGCAAATTAGTGAGACTTACTATAAGCAGTTGCGATTTTTAGGAGAAAGAAAAAATAGCCAAATTTAAATGGAGAGTTTAGGAGCTGCTGTAAATTATTCTTCCACATTCTCTCTCTCTCTCACACACACACATACATACATATATAGCATATATATATATATATATATACTTCATGTCTCCTTTCCCATTAACATAATTATATATATACATATATTGAGAAAAGGGAACTTTTTGACATTTGTATTTTTTCCTTATATTTATGCAATAAACTCTTTTCCTTTGCTCTCAGGACAATGAATGCTATCTCTATTTATCATAAAATTTACTACACACAACAAAATACTGAGTTTATTAATAAATGTAACATATATGCATATGTAGAACATGCTAAATGACATTTTTAAAATAGTAACAAATAAAAATTGTAACTTACGTTTTTAAAGTGCCTGATGTCATAAGTTCTGTTATCAAAACCAGATATTTGCCCTTAGGAGGCAAATCCATCTCCCAATAATCATAGAAACGTACAATGTTTGGATGTTGCAGCCCTTTTAACATTTCTGCTTCTTCTCTAAATCTCTGTCTTTCACTCTTATTCAGTCTCTCCTATTAAAAGATACAGAAAGAGCTATATTATTGAATGCTATGTTCCCGTCAAACAAATCACTGTTAGATTAAAAAATTTCAGCTATTCTGTTTTGTGCTTGTCAGTAAAATTAAAAATTACTTTTGAAATAGATAGCATATTCCTGATCACACTTTTTCACTGTTGCATACTTTTACTTATTTTCAATGCCTACTTCACGAGATGAGTAATAAAAAATTAGTATTTATGTACTTTTTGCATAGAAACTAGAAAGAGACTAAATTCATTAGACAATGCCACCTAAATGCAAGGTGATGTAGTCTGGCCATGGATGTCAAATGAGAATCCTAGGCACTTAGCTTCAATCTTACAGCGATTCACATCTCAATTAAGAGATATTAGAGCATGGAACTCAAAGATTTAATGCATGGCTGAATGTAACCATGACATGACATCTAAAAATAAATACAGAAACTTAATTTTAAAAAAATGTGGATCATTGAGAAGTTTATTAGCTAGTTAACAGATTACAAGAAAGCAAGAGAGGCCTAACTGCCTACGAATGGATTGCTTCACAGAGAGGAGGAAAACTGGCTCGTATTTGTATTACACATACGGAAAATCCCATATACCCAGACAAGATCAGGAGCCAAATTGAACTAGTATTCAATAATAATGCAGATCACACTCAGCCACTGGTGAACCCTATACCTCTGCATCATCAACATAAACTAATAAGAAAATCTGCACTTCCACTGAAGTGAGAAATTCTGATCTTGGTTTAATATGGAAAGATGCAGAAAATGATGACATCCATGAATTCATGACATCAAGCAAAAAAAAAAAAAACAATGCATCAGACTAACAACATTAAAAACCCAATAATGTTTTGATGCAAATGAACAAACGAAAGACTTTATTACCCAGCCTAAGTACTCTCATTTAACTTTTGCTCCATTTTCTCCAAGATTCTTTAGTTTGCAAAGAAAAATTTCATGTGGCTTTGTTTGAAAGTTTCACCATCATCAAAATTCCATGTTCCTTCTTTTATATCATGTTCACGTAATCATCTTTGGAAAATGCAAGTGCATCTTTTTCGACTTTGAAAAAGTGTAAATGAAAATTTTACTTAAAATAAAGACAAATTATTTTTTTAACTTTACAAAGTGTAATTTTTCTCCACTAATTTTGAAATTAACATGGGTTTTTCCAGAGAAAAAATAAACATGGAAACTTTTCTATCTAAAAAAAATGAAATAAAACCTTTTTTTGCTCAAAAAAAACACCTTTTATATATATAAGATACATATTTTAGACTTGAAAATTTTTCATCGTAGAAGAAATGCAGATGAAACTTTTCTACCTTATAAAAACTGCAAGTAAAATTTATTCAACTTAAAATTAAAATGATTTTCCCCCCCCCCTCTCATTTTGAAAGTAAAATGAAATTTTTCAATCATAAAATTAAAATGGAAACATTTCTACCTAAAAATTCCAAACAAACTTTGACATTAATCTATAAAAATAAATCACATATTTTATTAACAAGTTTCTTCTTTTGTCTTTATACATTTCAACATCCATAATGTAAAAAGATTTACATTTATATTTAGATATATATTTATTACTACATAATTTAACAGCTAAATTTCAACATTTTATTACACACTTAAGTCATATATCTATTTGAACACTATATGTAATTTAGCATTACTATCATACATAATAGGTGTGAGAGATTCTTTTATACTTCGTTTGTATATCCATATATATCATTTTGACCATTTACATCAATTTTGGTATCCAGTGAGAAGGGTTGCAAACTCAAATCACCACAGGTGGCAAAATGCCACTGGCTTTACCAACAGTAGCTAGTTTCCCATTTTAAACATAGTAGCTGATTTCCCATTTAGTTATCCATATTTTCAAATTGATAAATTATTAAATTATGAATTAAGTATTTAATGACCATTTAGTTTTCAAATTAATGAATTATTTAATGGCCACTTAGTTTTAATCACATTATCAAATCCATATTATACATTCATTAATCCATATTATCAAATCACATTATGGTATGTTACTCTACCAACTTACCTCTCACTTGTGTAATCAACTGTATGGCCTTAAAAACTGTCAACTAAGCTGTTACCACTCAGTGCAAATGGATACTATAAAATTGATCCAATTTTTAATGGACACGATTCAAAGGATTCATCCCCAAAGCACTCTCCAATTTTTTCCAAAGCAATTAACTGTAATTTTGGCTCTAAATGCTAGAATTCACGCTTTGTGTCCATGGTCAAACAATAAAAAATCTTCAGAATACTTATTTAGTATAATCATACATTCCATGCTTTCCATTAATGAATAAAATCAAAGAGCCTAAAGGCACTTTCTGTAGCAAGATGATTTTGCAACTGAAAATTAAGAACATCAGCCACAAAATCTAAATAGTTATCCAATATACCAGCTAAAATTTCTTTATACAATGGCTGACATAGACTACAAATAAACATGCAAATTTCTGGGAATGCATAGCAGAACAAGTCACGCTGATAATGTATGCAAATTGGTCACGTGATTATAGCATAAGATAAAAAAAAAAATGCAAGTTGGTCACATAATTATAGCATACCATAAAAAGAAAGAAAATGGTGAATAAATCAAAAGTCACTATTCTTTGCTGCTAAGCGAATAAAGAATTTTAAGAAATTTTCCAGAAGACAGATGTGAATGAAGAGAGAACTAGATGACGACACCGTACAGTTCCATCAAATGAAAGGTTTTACAAGGGGGTCAAATTGGTCTTACCAATGTGTTGCTGCTGAAGCACATGTCGATGAAGAAAATGTAAACAGTCATGAAAGAGCAGATCCATCTAGACAGACTACAGAATGCACAGATCGACGCAAAATGAACAGAAGTGATGGTAGCCCCAAAATCGACTACTATTGACATTTTACGGAATACACAGCAAATTTTGGATGCTCATTTAATTTGTGAAAACTGCCATTAATGCCAAAGCATAGATGAGAAAGACTGTGATGGTGTCAGGAATGAGCCATTTAGACATTTGAATGGCACAATGTAGCATTCAGCGAACGAGTCTAGTTTTGTTAGTCACATGATAATCACCGGTTTAGGGACTTGAGACATCAGAGAGAAAGAGCCTATTTGACTACTAATGCTGAATGCCACACTACTTGCTAACATGGCATAATGGCTTGGTGAGCCATCAATCACGATAGCACGTCACTCCTGTTATGCAACAGAGGCACACTGACAGCACAAGGATATGTTGACGAGGGTTCTCGGACAAAAGCCCACTGGACGAAAGTTGCATTCCACAAAATAACCCCATTGTGATAATTGCCCATGTGACAAATACCCTAAGCGATGAAAGTGCATAAACGCTCACATAGATAAAACCCCACATTGATAGAAGTCTACACTGATAAAAGCCCACATAATCAAAAGGACACATGGCTTTTAGCACTATAAAATGTATTTATAATCGTAATTATAGTAAATGGAGTACTCATATTTGAATTTTTATGTCTCAGAAATATGTCTGCTTGTGTATGTTATCCCTTCTTTATATTTGTTTATTTTATTAAGTAGCAAACAAACTTTCTGCTTTCTGATTAAGTGATTAGCTATAATGTTTCAAGGATAAATCTGAAAATACATTTTATTATTGATTTATTCATTTAATTTTGATATGTGCATGTCAAAATAAAAAATGTCATTAAGTTGCTCATACTATTTTCAATGTTATATGGCTGAGATTATAATTATGTTTTTTCATTATTAAAAAAATGGGGGAAATGGTATTTAATCAGAGAACAGAGAAAAAATATTTTACAGCCACTACAGGAAATTGTAACTCTTAGTTCTTGAACTAAATGATTAAGTAGTAACTTCTTGGACTTAGGTATGCTGACTAAAAATAGCATTATTTAACTGTTATTATTTGAAATCAAATCAGATGCATATATCAAGAAATATATAAATAAATCATTAATCTCCATTGTCAAAAATATCTGATTTTAACAAGAGATTTTTCTTCTCTTATTTTTATTTTGTTTCTCAATGTGACATTGCAGAGAGAGGCTAAGCTTGTGTGAGTGCACATTTGCCTGCTAACCCCAGAATGCAGCACCTGAATATTTGCTTTGAATTACTATGCTAAAAAAGAAAATCGCAGAAAATTACTGGCACAATGATTTTTCTCAGCCTCTTTTCTCACAGTACAACTAATTTTTTCCAGCTTACACTTCATCGTTATCTTTAATGATAGAGACAGTTAACTTTGAGGTATCTGTGATAATCCTCATGTGCTTTTTTCATAATAAATTGACTGAACATTTGAAAAGTTTGCATTAAAAAAATATTATGTATTACAAACTTATAAGGTATTTCTCCCGCCTTCCTAGCATGCCTTCGTGATGTAGTGGTTCTGCAAGCTGGTCCGGTATTCCAGAGGTCCGTGGTTCGATTCCCGGCGAAGGCATTGCTAATTTTTCATCTTGCCTAATGTCAAAAAATACCCAATTTCTCTATAAACTTTTCACAATTTAATATTCATCTATCTCGAAAACTTTAAGTTAAACTTTAACATAAGTTTTCTAAAGTACAGTTAGTCTTTACCCAAACCGTTTTAAAATTATTTTCATTACCTTCCTAACTTAACAAGTTGAAATTAGGCAATATCCCTATCCTATGTCCTTTATGAAATTTTGAAATATAAAACAATTAGTTCAGAAAAATAATTAACTTTATAAATACAATCTATATTTTTCCCTTTGAAATCAACCACAAATGAGTTGCTTTCCATTTTTATTCTATGTTTTAAAGCATTTAATACACTAAGTGCAAAATTTTTCCTCTCAAATACCTCTTGGTTGAGGCCATAATAATTCTTAGAAACTAATTCCAGGGAAATTTATTTTCTATATACTCTTTAAAAATCTGCTTCACAGTAAAAAGGGAAAAGGGAAAAAAAATTTTTTTCCTC